TGCAGGGTGGACAAGAACGCTGACGGTCGCATTACAGGAAAAGAAGTCAAAGAGGTAACCGAGCTGTTTTTGTCTTTTATTTATTTATTTTTTCTTTTGTATTTGATTCTTTTAACCTTTTAAAAAACTACACGTGGTACATGGATAAACATACTAATTCATTTTATAAATTCTTTTTGTTTTCGTTTGAATTAAAATAGGTAAAATATAATATATTAAAATAATGGTTCTACAAATTTTATAACATATACGATATTTTGAAGTACCAAAAATGTCCTCACTTTTTTCAAAAGTGAGGTTTCTTAACAGCTAAGTTAAGCGAGGTCAATATTGACATTTATAAATATATTACTAAGTACATATTAAATAATTTTTTAAATTGAGTAACAAATTTCTGATACCCAAGTTGCTGAAGTTGATTTTCAAATTTGTTACGAATATATGTAAAAACACACAAAAAAAATAAGAAATACAATTTTTCATGAAATTTCTTGTTTTTTCAATTTCTGTTTTCAGATTACTAACCCCGACCACAACTTAAATGTTTAATACTTAGCTATATATATATATATGTGCAGATTATTGCATTGAGTGCTTCAGCTAATAAGCTATCAAAAATCCAAGACGATGCTGAAGAATATGCTGCTCTAATTATGGAAGAGTTAGACCCAGATAATCTTGGATATATCGAGGTTTGTAAATAGTGATTTCAACATGTATATTCAAATTATTATTATTTTTTAAATTAATAATATACAAGTAGAGATTTTGAACATCTAATTTATAGTGTCGTAACTAATTTAACCTATAATTAGAGTAGCCATTAATATTATATTTTGCTTTAGTGATATTAATCTGTAACATTAATATCAAATATATGGTCAATTCGAGGCTAATTAAATAGACAAGACAATTACTATCATAACACATCAGAAAAATAGAAATTGTAGTTTCAACATTGGATAATGTATTTTATTCACTTTGAGCAAACATTAATTCAAGGAAATTAGCTGTGAGCACACATTTGTAAAGTACTGTCATTTATTCAATCTATCCCACACATAAAAATGTTAAAAATGTTAACGGTCTTGATGAAAATTTAATACATTTATTTTACAAATGAACTCCTAGTCCTAAAGTCAATATCGATTAAAGCACAAGTTAGTTGGTCGAATATTTACTACCTCAATTGAAAGTTCTATTTCAATCCTGCAAATTTAATACGTCTTGTTCACTAAAACATACTCGAATCAGCCTTGATTCCACATTTTTTCAATCTACCCGACACACGAAAATATTGACACGTGGACGGAAATTTAATACATTGGTGACTATATGTATATATATTGTAGTTATACAACTTGGAAATGCTACTTCTGCAAGCTCCAAGCCAGGCGTCAGCGGCGAACAGGGTGACGGACAGCCGCGTGCTGAGCCAACTGCTGAGCCAGAAGCTGGTCCCGACCAAGGAATACAACCCCGTAAAGCGCACCTACCGCTCCCTCCGCTACTTCGTGGAGGACAATTGGAAGCGAATCTGGGTCTTCTCCCTATGGCTCGCCATCTGCGCCGCTCTCTTCACCTGGAAATTCATCCAGTACCGCCACCGCGCCGTCTTTCATGTCATGGGCTACTGCGTCACCACGGCCAAAGGCGCCGCCGAGACGCTCAAGTTCAATATGGCCATTATTCTTCTCCCTGTTTGTAGGAATACCATCACTTGGCTCCGGAGTAAGACCCGGCTTGGCGCTGTTGTCCCTTTTGATGACAATGTCAACTTCCATAAGGTATTTTTCTTTCTTCCTTTTTGACCCTTTTGACTTTGCGTACCATGTGTTTGATGATTTGTCTCTTCCGAAATTGCCATGTATTGTTTGATGGTATTGCTGGTTCCAAATCCTTGGGTTTGAAGTAGGAAATGATAAGGTTTAAATGGCCCGGAATTTCAAGATTTTCCCATTTTGTTCCCACAAGCTTTTGGGTTTATCTATTTTATTAAATCAACTTCTGAAGAACGTTGAAGAGATAACTATTTTGGTCATCATCTTTATTTTACTGATGTGGTTTTGAGATATGTGGATTGTTGTGTTACAAATATGTATATATTGGAGTCACATCAGTTAGATAGTTGTGAATATTTGGTGAGGAATATTAGGAGGCATAATAATAGTCTGTCAGACTAAAATAAATATTTGAAAGTCTCGGGATCAAAAGTAGACATTTTGAGTTAAGGGACCAATAGACATTTTGAATTAAGGACCAGAATGGAGCCAAAGTTCAATTACCAAAATGGGATTTCAACAAAAATGATATCATTGAATTTTGATTGAAGTTGTTAAAAATATATATAAATGATCAAATATACCCTAACTTGTTAGCTTAAATTTTCTGGATTTAGTGAAGGGTATCCTTAATTCCAACCTCTACAGTGTCATATTCCTCCGAATATTAATAATTTACTTGTTAAGTTTCACGAACCATATACAAAAGAGAGTATCAAGAATATGCAGATAAGATTAAATGTCGTGTAATCCACCAGCCTAGGCTTTTAAAATTACTCAAAATTTTAAGTGGTTAGTTTGGGAAGATTCAGTTAATCTTATTTGAATTTGCATCTGCTCTGTTTAGGTAATTGCTGTTGGCATAGCCATTGGGGTCCTTTTACATGCTGGAGCACATCTTACCTGTGACTTTCCAAAGCTACTCCACGCAACTGATGCCGAATACGAACCGATGAAGCCGTTTTTCGGCAAAGAGCGGCCGAACAACTACTGGTGGTTCGTGAAGGGGACGGAAGGGTGGACTGGGGTGGTGATGGTGGTGCTGATGGCTATAGCATTCACCTTGGCTCAGCCATGGTTCCGTCGCAACCGCCTAAACCTCCCGAAAACCATAAAGAGACTCACAGGCTTCAATGCCTTCTGGTACTCTCACCATCTCTTTGTCATTGTCTATGTCCTCTTCATCATCCATGGTTACTACCTCTTCCTCACCAAGGAATGGTACAAAAAGACGGTAAGAATTCTCAGAATTCTCATCTCAAACAAACGTTATATCAAACAAAAATTGTTATCAAATAAGACTCAAGTGACGTTTTGTTTTCTTTGTCTACCACAGACATGGATGTATCTAGCTGTCCCAGTTCTGCTATACGCGTGTGAAAGATTGATCCGTGCATTCCGGTCGGGCTATAAAACAGTGAGGATCCTAAAGGTACACAGAACGCCCTTACCCTTTGTTTGTTTGCCAAGAAACTTCTCAAATTTTCTCGAGAAAAAAAGTGGAAGAGAACTTTTTGCTGATAGAAAAGAGGAAAAATTTTAGGTTGCTGTTTATCCTGGAAATGTTCTGGCGTTGCAAATGTCAAAGCCTCAAGGATTCAAATACACGAGTGGGCAGTACATTTATGTGAACTGTTCTGCCATCTCCCCCTTCCAATGGTAAATCCTTCACCGTTTGATCTTCTCCATCACCATGATCATCATGATGATTGGTCGGAATTAACGGTTGTGATCAAATCTTGTTTTGCAGGCACCCATTTTCAATAACCTCTGCTCCTGGGGATGATTACTTGAGCATTCACATCCGTACTGTGGGAGACTGGACTTCTCAACTCAAGACCATTTTCTCTAAGGTATTTATTATATATATTTGATTACCTTAAAAGAAAATGTTTCATTGGGTGAACTTTATTATGAGTTAAATGTTTCAAAGAATTAGATCCGGTTTTTTAAAATTTTGGTTCAAATACTATTTTGGTCCCTCTGCTTTTGATTTTTTTCGACCCTATTTTTCAAAACATCTATTTTGTTACCTATATTCTCAACTTTTTTTCATTCAATCATTTTAGCAGCACACTTACTCATTAAATTTCATGAAATATAGCAATAAATTTGTATTAAAGAGTTCTCATTATAGGTAAAATTTGTGTACAAAGACCAAAATGAACGTTTTGAAAGTCCAAAAACTAACATGAACAAAATTAGAAAATTCAAGTGCCAAAATGAACCAAAGTGAAGTAGTTGGACCAAAATAGTGTTTAAACAGGAAAAAAATTTTAAAACTAGATTATAAAACAAAAGAAATTTGTTCATAAAGTAAACCAGCATGATCAGTAAAAATAAAAAATCATATAGAAAATATTATCAAACAAGCTATAAATTGTTTCGATCTTCTTTTTAAATAATATTGCCCTTTCTGTCTTCAGATATGTCAGCCTCCATCTGTTAATCAAAGTGGTCTTTTGAGGGCTGATATTGGCCAAAGCAACAACAAAATCAGGTATTTATTTCAGCTGTACCTTCATTTTTTCGATATAAAAACTCGAATCGATACCAAAACTTAATCGTACTGCAGACTGTCAAAGATGGATAAAAAATGAAATTAACTTGAAAAATTGTGGTAGGTTGCCAAGGCTCTTAATAGACGGACCATATGGAGCTCCAGCACAAGACTACAAAGAATACGACGTTCTTCTTCTTGTGGGGCTGGGAATCGGCGCAACTCCGCTGATCAGCATCGTCAAGGATGTACTGAACAACATAAAGGAGCAGAAAGACATTGAAAATGGCGTTGCCGAGAAGCAGCCAAAACCTTTTGTCACCAAGCGAGCTTACTTCTACTGGGTCACCAGAGAGCAGGGCTCATTTGAATGGTTTAGAGGTGTCATGGACGAAGTTGCCGAGAACGACGGAGACAAAGTGATCGAGCTGCACAACTACTGCACCAGCGTTTACGAAGAGGGCGATGCTCGGTCTGCCCTCATTACCATGCTCCAAGATCTCAACCATGCCAAGAATGGTGTCGATATCGTGTCCGGGACGAGGGTGAAGACGCATTTTGCTAGACCCAACTGGCGTAATGTTCTCAAGCATGTTGCTGTTAATCACCCTGATCAACGAGTTGGTAAGCCTTTGCTTAAATTCACATATCATTAAGTCAATTTTACGATCTCGAAATAGATTACGAATGATTTTACAAATTAAAAAACCATCATTTCTGAACTTTAGATTGTGTTTCTATCTAGTTACTGTCATGAGTACTATTAATAGATTGCTAATGTAGCATGTTAACAACTACATTCTACTTGTTACGTCACGTTAATTCAACTAAAATTTATCTATTCGGGGTGTAAATGTATATGCAGGGGTGTTTTACTGTGGAGCACAAGGACTTGTAGGAGAACTAAGGAGGTTGTCACAAGACTTTTCAAGGAGAACAACCACCAAATTTGATTTCCACAAGGAGAATTTTTAGATTATAATTTGATTAATTTTTTTAAAATTTTGATATTTTTAAGAAATTGTAATATAAAGTGTAATCCCCTTGTTATTGGGTATATACCTACCTTTATATGTTTGTTTGATAGCTCTATTCAAAATTTTCATGATCCCAGTATTATAGGTAAATGTACTGAATATTAATACAGATCTTGGTTGAATAAGATTTCATATTTAATCCATTATTTTCATAATTTCCTTTTATCTGATGTATATATTTGTTTACTTCTATACTTGATTGAGTGATATTTAATTTCCTCACGATTCAATTATTAAATTTTACGATCAAGTAAAAATAATTTTCAATCTAAATATAACTCAATAATAGGTATTTGTTTTTTACCAAAATATAGTGAGTTGGAATTCTTATCTCCATATGTTAGTACTAAAAAAAATTTGAAGTAAAAATAATTCGTACAAGAATGTCCAAATTTAATCATTAAAACATCAAAAAGTTAACCACAAAATCGAATAATTGAGAAAACGTCCACATCGAACACCAAATATGGAAACAAACTCTCTAACATTGTTCATATCTATTCACAACTTTTTTGGATGAAAACATAACTTGATTAATAGAGTGTATTAATTTTACTCCTTATGAAAATTCAAGGCTGGATATGGTAAAATTAAAATTTTAGAGTTAAATTAATTCGCTGGAAACATTTTTTTGGACAATATTACCCTTCATTTTTTTACTTAATACAATACATGCCTTCATTTATGCTTAAGCCATCATTCCATGTATTTATGTTTCTCTACCACCTCTTTTTTTGTGTATCTCTCTTCTCACTCCCACTCATTTATCCTTCGTTTAATTCTAATTTTCTCTTTCCTATTAACCTTTGATTCTTTCTTTCTGCTTATCCAAATTCCTTTCTAATTTTTTTGTTTTGTTTTATTTTATTTCCTCTTTTTAAATTGTTGTCTTCTTTTTCTTTTTTTTTTT